ACTAATGTGGAAGTATATTAATGAGTTTTAATGTAAAGTAAAATTGTAATAAATATAAATTATGAATTAGTAAAGGTATTAATGAATTTAGTGAGTGCAAATATAAGGTCGGTTTAGTTTATTGATTCGAGTTTTTAATTAGAATTGTAATGTAATTTTATGTGAAAATTTTTTATTATAATAAAAAAATTAAATGTGACTGTTTTTAAAAAATTTTAATGTAACAAACTCGATCGGTCAAATGAACGGATCATAATTACTCAAAAATCAAAGCCAAAAAGCCCAGTATAAAGCCCTCATGCAGCCCAACCCTTCCCACAACGTCAACTTTCTCTCTTGAGTGCGCGACACGTGGTAGTTCGAGATCAACGTATCCATTCCTTTCACGCCATGTGGAATCTGATGCACAACCCATCTCTCTCTCAGGATTTTGTTCTTCAAATTAGAATCAGTCATCCTAACTTGCTCCTCAGTCAGACATTTGATTTCTCTAATTTATTTGTAATTTTATTTTTTTCCATTTTAATTGTGATTTTTTTTCCACTTTTGTGGATTTATTTTCTTATTTTCAGCAGGTCTTAAACACTATAAATAAAGGGGTGTGCTTAACTTTGTAATTGAGAGAATTTTTAAAAATAAAAGTTCTATCATTTTTCAGTTCTTTTTTTTTCCATTGTTTTTCTTTCGGTAAGAGATGAGTAACTCATCTTTTTATGAGTGCCACACAACCGAGGAAAAGATGAGTAAAGAGTGAATTTTAAATCCTCTCATCTTTTATTTATATCAAAATACTGTGTGCTAAATTTTTATATAAGTTTAGTCATGTTTTCTTATGTAATTTTGTCGTCCAATATTTTGGTATAATTATTTTATGAGTTAATCTTTTACTGTAATATGTCGAGAGATATATTATCAATTTTAAATAACTTATAATAATAATCTTTGTGGAATTAACGTTGGGGTTTGATTTATTCTTTCACTTATCTCTTCTAACATTTATTTTCCGTCAATCTGTTTTGTTTGTTATATGACACCTCCTCACAGGATTGACCACTTATTATGTGCTATGGAACAACCGCTTTAAAAAATTAGTTTGGGCATTAAACAATACGTCTACTACACAATTCCTCAAAATAGAAGATAATTTCACTATCACTTTGAGAGAGTACAAAATGCACAAGAACTTTTTTTGCCAAAGATTGGACTTGGGGTTTTTGCGTAGGATCAACCCTCTTTTTATACAAGTTCAGGTCGGTTAATACCGACACATACAAATTTGAATTCAATTCCTAGTGTGATAATCTCTACTAATTACAATCTATATCTTCTGGTGGGTCTTATAACTTCTTATCTCCAATTTATCACATAGATTAACTAAAATTTCAGGTCATTCTCCTCTTTCATATTTGAATTTTTAATAAGTCCTTCTCGGCCATACCCTTATCCTGCAGAGATAAGGTGTAACCAAGTTGTCCAACTCGGTTAAGTATCAACAATTGCCCCCAACTCAGAGTGCTACTCAGCTCTGTCATTAATTTCACCAGGTAGGTGGTTGAAGTACTTCGAGCTATACTTAGTACGTGACAAGCCTAGATGCTTCATGAGGAAGGAACGTTTTGTTGGTTTCTGAGGCGATTTTAGATGAATTTTATAGTAGAAGCATATAAGTGCGGATCGTATATAACAAAAATTTTCATAAATATTTGTAACACTCTATAGACATATAATTTATGTAGAAAAATAATATAATTAATTCTTACCCTCAAATCGATTAGGTCAAAGTAAGCGTGATCTCTTATAGTTAGATAAACAAAAATTAAATTGAAAAGAATTCAATTAAAAGGGGGCTCATGATCACTCTTGGAACTCGTTAGCATCCGACAATGATAAATCGACTGAACAAAATGAATAAGCGAAAAGTATAAAGTGAGAAAATAAAATTAGACCAAATGATTTAAAATGGTTCACTCTTTTGAAAGAGTTCCGTCCTTTGTGCAACAAGAAATTTTCACTATGCAAATAGAATAGTGCAGATTTACAAAGTGACTTTCTCTTTCTGGCCTCTTTTCACTCAGAAAAATTCTTTCTCTACTCTCTAGCATTTACTTTGACCTCGTTCATTTTACCGATTCAAGTTTTCAATTATATGTTTTTACAGTTAAAAATTCTAAAAAAATATCACATCTAACTTTTCTGTTACAGTTAAAGCTTTCAAAAAATGTCGCATTTCAACTCAATTTAAAAACTCGAATCCGCGAAATAAACGAGGTCTTTATTTATAATACATTTTACAGCCCATGATATAATCGTAGGTTTCATATCCTTCCTAGGCTGCTGCCACGTGTCTTTGGTAGTGGATGAGTGAGTTTGGTTCTCCTTATAATCCCTATCCACTAAATACCTGGGGACTTTTTTCACTAACTGAATCGTGGGCTAGGCCTGTGATCCTTGCAGACTTGTCTCCTTGACCTATGCAACGAGCCCACCACCCATTGTTTCCAAGAAGAACTGTGGCCATCGAGTATTGCAAAAGGCAATCGCTAGTCGCTCATCGAGTGCTCGCTTATCAGTCGCCTAGAGAAGATCCACAGGTCCACTTTGAATCGCCAATCGTGTTCATAACTAGCACTTCATTGATGAGGAGTTGTGTCGACGAATCTTACACAAACAGTTAGCCGTCCAATCTTTAATGAAACGTTTGGTTCATAAATTCAGAGTCATGATTTATGATTCAGAACCAGAGACGAACTCTTAAAATAAACTTTCCATAATTGATGCATCAATTGGAGACTGAATTTTGATCGTTTAATGCCTCCGAAGTTTGTGTCATTTTCTGCCTTAGTAATGATTTCGCCTTCAACCGCCATTTTTGTGCCTACACATGTCATTTTGTGACCGGACAAATTTAAAAAATGCAATTGGCAGCTCTCTAAATTCGGAAGAGACACACCTCTAAAAAATCGGGAGGGAAAGGAATACGTGCTTATTTATTTGTCGTTGGATGATTTCCAAAGAAACCAATCTAGGTCGTTGAATTCCTTTTCAGACAATACTTATAGGGTAAGCTCATGTCTAGTGCTGGAACTTTGAATAGGCCATCTGCGATTGTTGAAAACCGATTTTGAGCTTGACGCTCGAGCCCACCCACCCGCCCAAATTTTTC